TTTGACTTTTATTGAGCTAATTATAGACAATTGAAATTTTATATTTTATAAGTATTTTTTTTTAAAATAACGATAAAATTTTTTTGGCCGGCCAGAAAATATTGAAAATTTAATACAAGGTTTCTTATAAGTTGTTCCTTAACTGATAAAAAAATATCCAAAATCGTAAGTCACAATTTTTTTTTATAAGTGCTCAAAGTTCCAATTTATACGAAATATGTAAACATTGCGAAAATTTGCAAATAATTTTGTGGTTGAAAAATCGTAAATTTTTTTTCTGTTATAACTAAGTTTTGAAAATTTGGTACAAGGTTTTTCATTAGTTTTTCTTCAATTATCTGTAAAAAAAACTCTACTGGATTCAGACAAAAAAAATTTATGAGTGTTTGAAATTTAAATTTTTACAAAAACACGTTAAACAACGGTTTAGCCTCAAACGATTTTTGCTATTTGTTTTTTTTCCAAAAAGTATAAGTTGTAGAAACTTGAAAATTTTATTAGTTGTTTATATTGGCATTTTCTTTATATAATTTTATTTTCAAAAGATTTCACTAATTTTTAATCAATTTATAAGCATTTGAAATATTCGATTTTTTTAATTTTTTTTTTTATAAATGTTGATAAAAAAAATTTAGCTTGGACAAAATACTTGAAAATTTAATAGAAGGGTCCACATAAGTTGTTATAACTCCCATTCAAAAATTATAAAAATACATAGGCACAAATTTTTTTAATAAGCGTTTATAAGTGCGAATATTGACAAAATTCGTCAAAATCATGTATATTTGCTATGTAGTTGTAGGTAAAAATTAATAAAAATTTTTGTATTAGAAGCTAACAATTTAAATTTTAATACAAGGTTGTCCATAAGCTCGGCTTACCATAATTGTAAAAAATACGAGGGTAATTAAAAAAACAGCTAATATTGACATAAAATTACATGTAAAACATAATATAATATATAATATTCTAGACTGACAAATCATATCGGTTTTTGGAATTTGCTCTCTAACTCAAAAACCAAATAGCGTAAACACATGAAATTTTCACCAAATGTTTATATTGACGTTTTCTATGAATAATTAAGTTTTCAAAGTATTTTGACTTATTTATAGATTAAATTGTCAAAATTTTTGATTTTTCTAAATTTTTCGTTTCAAAATAAAATATACTTATTACAATTAATAACAATGTATTATATTCTAGACTAACATATCATCTCCGTTCAGAATCGTTTTTCGTATACAATGATACCTATCATTGAATTCAAATTTAAGAAATCCATTGTACCCCAACTGTACAGCAGAGCGAGGCTCATCCGGTTTTTTTTTTTTTTTATTTATTATGAACGGAGATGATTTGTCAGTCTAGGATATATTATATTTAATTATTGTCATATATTCTATTTTGAATCAAATTCAAACATTTAAGTAAAAGTTTTTTTTTGGTTATCAGGAGCCTATAATCAAACTTTTGGAAAAGTTTTAAAACTTTTCGATTTAATTCCTGAAAAAATCATTAAATTACTGGACTAAATATAAAAGTTTTTATTAGAATGGTGATATAGCAACTTACGTGGTTTTAGTAAATGCCTTTACATTCCCTTTATTTTTTTTTCTGTGAGATAACGGCTTTCTATGCTTAGGTTTGTACTTGCTATTCATTTTAACTTATAAAGACAAAACTTCACTAAACAGTAGAATAATGTTGGTTACGTCAGACGATTGTCTAATGACTGAAACTTCTAAATCATTGATAATAATATAAACGATAGGTTTATTGAATTATATTTTGTTATCCTGAGTGTAGCCCTCAGTTCACAGTAAATATACGAAGTACAACAAATTACAAAATATCTAATAATAATATCCTTATCTACATTTCGCTTGTGCCGCGTCGGGTGATGATTGCGAGATGGTTGAGAATGCTACGCGGGGAAATTTTACGCACCCGCAGACACATGTCAAAGTAATTGTTCCAAACAAATGAATAGTGAAAATTTCACACTGAATACACGATTCTACTTTTAACAGTAGGCTCCCATAAATACTCCGATTTAAGTTTTGAAAAAACTTATAAATTCTTAATAACATTTCCAACGCATCGCTCGTGATACAATTTAAAAAATATTTTTAATTATTTAATTATTTTTATTTGAAAAGTTGCAATTTTTCAAAATTTGAAATCATTTAAAAAATATTATTGAAAATAAAAATTCAAAATGTATTCCGACCGATGCATCAACCAAGTACTGAAAAATCTAAATCCGTTTTCAAAACTTATGTCGGATGACGCATTCTGGAGTATGGTTAAATTTAGAATGTGCTATTTTCTATCAAAAACGGGCTGGTGTAGAGGCCCCTTAAGAAAAAAATAATAAAATATAAAACATCTATAAATTTACTTATATTATTGTTTTGGGCTTTGGTCTCATCTCTCTTTAAAGAAATCCTTTATAAGCCATTACTAGACGATGAAGGGAGGGGGTAGAATATTGTTTGATTTCATATGAGACTTGTAAAAGTTTTAAGCCCCCCACATTTTTGACCCTATTTGCGCCTATGCTCATTTTCAAAATTTAATAATTTTACAAGCTCTAAGAAATTCCCATTATTTCCTGTTTCATTATCAATATTCTCATGTGCATCACTAATAATATTTATGACTTGGGAAGTATCTTTGTGCCCTCTCAAACCAATGTCTTGTCTAGCACATAAAGGGCACATTTTATTAAACTTCTTAATACTAACCTATTTCTTTCAACTTCTATTTTTAATTGTGAGTCAATCATAATTGAAACACTACCTTGTGTTTTAGAATCTAAATATCCTTTATTATACTTAGTCAAAGCTAATTTATGTGTATGACATTTATCATGTACTTTAGCCATGCCATTAATATGTTTCCAGTCTGAATAACCATACACTGTTAGACTACCTGAATTAGGATTACAATGCTGACTTGATGGCTAAGAATGTCTACAATTATAACAATAAATTTCATTATGTTGTACAGAATATTCAATCCACGTATACTGTTTATACCAAGTACTATTAAAAGAACGTTTATTTTTGCCCATTATTTTATAAGGAAAAACTATGTTTGGTTGTACTAGTGGTTGATCAAAATTTAAACTTAAGTCTAATACTTTACTTGTTGACGGCTGAGGCGTAACTTCCACATTATAAGTTTCACCAGAACAGCTAGAGTCATCAGTATGTATTGAAGGAAATTTTGGTTTGTCCCTTCAATCGTTTTCTTAGATTTAGATTGTGAAAATTTTATTAAAAACTTTTTCATTTTGATTTACAAATCAAATAGTCGGTGATATACATGCAGATGGAAACGAAAAGAGAAAAAAACAAACTTTAAAAAAAAAGTGCGAGTTAATGTGTGTATCGAACAACAACGACAATAACGACGAGCGTCTCGGGAGCAAAATTGCGCGACCAATCAGAGGCGTTCACATTTCTTATCAATGTTTATTAAAATCACATTTCTTATCATTATTTATACAAAATATAACGTGATATTGATATATTCTGTGGTGATAATATATTGATATTATTTTATTCGGTGATATAATCTTCAATCATACAGGCAGTGTTTATTTCAGGGGTGACTGGGGGGGGGTAATACCTCCCCGGAGAAAAATGTATACCCCCCGAAAAAAAGTATAACATTATTACGTAAATAGTATATTATGGTCCGATTATATATAAAACGAGTTATCGATGAATTGTCAGTTATTTCGTGCGAAGATGATATAATAAATAAATATTTAATATAATAATATCTTGTGTTACTTTTTCGTACGTCAATATAGTCAATTAATGTGTACCGATAATAATCGTAATTTATATATTATTAAATTGTTCGTCAATATAATCGATTTTAGATAAGTACCTATCGCATGTGGGTAATTTTTAAAACGTGCTGTTGTCTGCGAATGTCAGTGTAGTGCAGTGGTTCTCAATCTTTTTAGGACCACGACCCAAATTTTCTTCCAAAAATCTATCGCGACCCCCATGGTTTTACATTTACAGAATCAAAAAAGTAATTTCAAAAAAACAAATTTTTTAAATTTTATTACTTATTTACAACTTTATAATAATACTAATAATTATAACAATATACTTTTAATAATAATAATATAATACTTAATTAATAATTAGGCGTATGTGATGAATGTGCTTGTTTCCTGCTATTGTTGATAACAGCACCTACATCGACATCAATTTTAGTTATTTTCAAACGCAAGGAGTGCGATAATTGGAGCTTGTTTCTGTGTTTGTTTTTGATGCCCACCATTGCTGAAAATCCAACTTCTCACAAGTATGAAGATGAGAAAGGTAGTAATACCTTTAAAGCTTCAGTTGAAAGAGTTTGATATTTCTGTTGGGCTGACAGCCAAAACTCAATCAAATTATTGCGGTTAAATTTAAGTTTTAATGATGTATCTTCAATGAGTTCTTCATCAACTTTTGTTGATATCCCTGTTAACATAGCGTCCTGAAACGGATTCACAATTCAGTTATTTTTTTGACATTTTTCCATTTCTTCAAGGAAGTAAAAGTAAAATTTATCTTTCAACGAAATTAAATGCAAAGTAATTTGGCTAATTATATCATCAGGAATTTTTATATTATTTTCGGTTATAAAAGTTTGAAATGTTTCAAAACAATCATAATTTTGCATTTCAATGTTTTTTTGCCATAAAGTAAGTTTTTTTTATAAAACTTCTAATTTTTTCATGGACCGCAAATATAGCGGTTCCTTTAGTTCCTTGTAAATATAAATTTAGTTCATTCAGTTTCGAAAATATGTCGGCTAAATACGTGAGCTTCAAAATAAAATCTTCATTGTGCAACGATTTTGCCAGATCAGTTTTTTCCTTTAGAAACAGTGCAACTTCTTCGCGGAGTTCTACAAGTCTTGTTAATACTTTTCCTCTTGACAGCCAACGTACTTTAGTGTGCAAAAGAAGAGATTTATGAGAACTTCCCATCTCTTCACACAACTTTTCAAATAATCGTGATTGCAGTGGCCTTGTCTTAATGAAATTGACTATTTTCACAGAAGTGTTCAACACCATTTTCAAGTTATCCGGCAGATTTTTCGATACTAAAACTTCCCTATGAATGTTGCAGTGAGTCCATGATGCATTCGGACTAACTTCAAGCATTCGAGTTACAACACTACTATTTTTACCACACATAGCTCTAGCACCGTCTGTACATAATCCGACACATTTTACCCAATCAAGACCTTTTTTATTGATATAAGTATTAAGGGTATTGAATATTTCCTCACTAGTACCTCGAATAATTGGTTCACAAAATAACATATCTTCATGTGGTGCGTTGTTCCATATATAACGTATGAATACAAGCAGCTGACATAAACCTTGAACATCAGTAGACTCATCTAGTTGTAGTGAGAAAAATCTACTTTTACTGGCTCTTTCAATTAGCTGATTTTCTGTCCATTGAGACATGTCATTAATCCTACGTGTAACTGTATCATTTAATAGTGGTATCATTTCGACGTCTTTCGAGAATTTGTCACCAAACATTACTTCAACTGTATCTTTTATTTCTGGCAATACAAAATTCTCTCCGATAGTATGTGGTTTGCCAGCTTTTGCGATTTGTAAACTTATCAAGTACGAAGCGTGCATAGCTTTTTTATTGATCTTGGTGAACTGTGTAATTTTTGTTTTGGACGTATTTTGTTCTTTCAACTTTGTTTCGAAATAAGAGAGTGGTTGATCTATCAAATCAGGATGCTTAGTCTCAATATGCCGACGTAATTTATTCGGACGCATACTCTCGTTTGCAAGTACTTCAAAACAAATGACACACTGCGGTCGTTGTTCATCATTATCTTCTTTCCAAGAAAAACCAATTTTTAGGTACTCTGAATCATACTTTCTTGTCTTTTTTTTTCGTTTTAAAACCGAAGTTGAAGGTTCGTTTTCATCAGTTTCAATTTTTCGCTTATTTACCAACCATTTATCCATCATATAATTTTTGTAAATAATTTGTCTCAAAAATAGCGTGCACAATTACACCAAACAATCGATCGCACCAATACGAACGCACGCGGTAAAACACATTAACTAAAATTACAAGCCGACGATGATACAACGTAACGACTAACTGAAATTTTACTGACAACTAATTGCCGAGTACCGACTTTATCGTCATATTTTATCGAAATATTTTTGCGATAACGACGTACCAAAAGTACCCGTCGTAATAATTCCCATAATTCGTATATTACTTAATTCTTCTATTAGTATTTATATTCTATAATCTATAGTCTATACAATTTAAAAAAACATAAATTTCTTACAATCTGTATAATTTGAAAAAACTTCTCGCTACTCCCCAAAAATTGAATCGCGACCCCCCAGGGGGTCGTCACCCACAGTTTGAGAAACGCTGGTGTAGTGGATTACGCATTTAAGACTACGTCAAACTGCATTTGGTTGATTTATATTGTTTTTGGTTATTTTTCAACGCATTTTGGTTGGTAATTAAACTTTTAACCAACAGTTAACTTCCATTATGTCAAAACGAAAAAATAATCCTATATTAGATATGTATCGGAAAAAACATGACAACGTTGATGATCCACCAGTTATACCTTCACCGGCTTCACCCACTGAAATAATTGAAGATCAAAAAGATCAAAGTATTCGTAAAGTATTAAAAAATTATTCTTTTCAAAAAAATTGGGAAAAATAGTTTAACTGGCTATATTATAATATTAAAAAGGGAGGGGCTTTTTGTAAGGTATATAAAAAATTTCTTAGTAGTAATCATAGTGCTTTACAAAAA